AGAGAAAGAATTACTAACTAAAACCAATCACACAAACTACATGTTTGTAACTATCTATTGAGAAGCTGTAGCATGTCCATGTTCTGACAGCAAGGAGTCTTTTGCTAACATGAAGGAATTCCTCTTAAATCTGGCTGATTAATTTCTGAAAATCTGTGTGTGTATATATATATATATATATATTTATATATATATTTATACACACACACATATTTCATAGAATCATAGAATGGTTTGGGTTGGAAGGAAACTTAAAGATCATCTACTTTAAACCTTTCTGCCAGGGACAGGGACACCTTCCACTAGACCAGGTAGCTCAGAACTCCATTGAACTTGGCCTTGAATACTCTCAGGGATGGGGTGTCAGCAAATTCTCTGGGCAACCTGTTCCAAAGATTCACCACCCTCACAGTAAAGAATTTTTTCCTAATATCTAATCTTCCAGTTTGAAGCCATTCCCTTCTGTCCTGTCACTACATACTCTTGAGTAAATAGTCTCTCTATCTGTCTTGCAGGCTCCCTTTAAGTGCTGGAAGGCCACAATTTGGTCACCTCAAAGCCTTCTCTTTTTCAGGCTGAACAAACCCAATTCTCTCAGCCTTTTCTCACAGGAGAGAGGCTCCATTCCTATAATCAACTCGGTGGTCCTCCTATAGACTTGTTCTAGCAGGTGGATGTACTTCATGTGCTGGGGACTCCAGAGCTGGATGCAGTACTCCAGGTGGGGTCTCACCAGAGCACAGCAGAGAGATAGAATCATCTCCCTTGAGCTGCTGGCCACACTGCTTTTGGTATTTACTCAGTAGAGGCTTGCTGGTCTTGACAACAGAAGTCTAAAGCATTTGCCTTCCACAGGTCATACAGGCTATGGACATGGACTGATAAGAGGCCTCAAGAAGTCTTTTTCTTTATTCCTCTCTAGTCCTTTGATAGAGGATATTTACTTAAGCTGCACTTAACATGTTGTGAAAGAGGTTCTGCCATTTGCCTAGATAGCTTGGTTTACACCTGAAAGATTTGTTCTATCATATAACTGTAATCTTTTCTTTGAAAGAAGCATTTTGCACTTCATCGCAGCCACAGGGGATAATGTACCTGACTAAAGACAGTTGACTTGTGCCCATACCCAGTCTGTTCAAATCTTTAAATTTTCCCCATTAGAGTTGTTTGCTAAAGCAGTTATTCATGTTTTCTTCCTCCAGGTTGTCCAAAACTGAATACCAAGTTTAACAGAATCATTTTATACCTCTCTTAAAACATGTTCTGTGCTTTGCCTCCACCTAAGTCACAGTCCAGCAGTGATCAAGATGTTTTCCTACTAATCTTTGCCTGGCTACTAACACTGAGAAAAGAAAACCAGTCTAAACTGTGAAATCAGACTGTGGTTTCACAAACTTGTTAATGGGGAGCATAAGCCAGCTATGCTACTCGGATAAGCAGCCTTCCCTTTTCCCTCAGCTTTTCGCAGTGGCACACTTTCCCTCGTACACTACAAGTTAACCTAACTGTAGAACTTGTCTATGTTAAAAGTAACACTACCCATAGGTTTTTTCCTCATCTAGTTTTAATCAGTACCTAATCCCTGGCTAGGCAGCTGCACAAACTGCTCTCAAAGATGTTTGTTACTGCAACAGCACTTCTGGGTGATGCTGAGGAAGTCACTCCAGCAGGACTTCTTCCCTCTGATCAGTAACTGAGAACTCTCCTTTTCAGAGTAAACTGAGCAGAGGTTCAGGTTGTGATTTTTTTTTTTTTAATTCACATCAGAGATGTGAATAAACACACTCAGGAACTTAGTTGAAAAACTGTGTCCTAGATGCCTTCAGCTGGATACTCAGCAAGACAAGAGTAGCTATCCGGTCTATAGGTGTTCACATGTGCAGTGAAAAGTAAAGGCATCTGTTGAGACAAGCAGTGAATGGCAGACAATCCTGCAAAAAAAGTGTGTGTTTATGTCATTACAGAAAATAATAATACTCAGCCACAAAAGGGGAAAATAACAGACACAACCTTTATCCTGTTATTTTTTGGGGGGTTAGTTAGGGGTTTTTTCAGAGGGGAATTGTCTTTTTTCTTTTTAACCTAAGGATGTTATTCTCATTGAATTAGTATTTTGTCCACATTTTTGATAGTGTGATAGAGAAATGACTGGCAGGAAATGAATTCATATTTATCTAATTTAGCACAACTTTAAGAAGTAGGTGATTTATAGGAACATTCACATACAGACGTATTTGTTATTACCTAGTATCACATTTGGAAGGACAGACCATCTATTGGTGAGAGAAATGCACCAGAGCTCCTATAGTATCCTGTGTGTGGCAGTCATAGGTCTTTTTCTTCCCTGCTCTTAATCACTATAGGTTTCTGCGCCTTTCCATAAAATCAAGTAATTTGGGAAAGTGCTTTCCAAGAACAGGATTTCAGAGTTGAAAGTAATTGTGTGCAACAGAAAGCTGTGGTTTGTTCCCATTAAATCTGTAATTCCCAGTCAAAAGTGGGGGATGCTTTTCTTCATTGGTATGACTAATAGTACTTGATACAGTAGGGAATAGTTTTAACATATGTGAAGATTGGGATTATGCATTTCCTTCAAGATTCATCAGTTGAATTTCTGATGTTTGTAGTGAAAGGGTTGTCTGCTGCACAGATTTGGTCCTACTGGAAATATAGGAATTGTACAACTAAATCAAATGCCTAATCTCTCGTACTTCACCTGTAAAAGTCATCAGGCCCTAACTATAAGTAATAGGAAAAGATTGGCTATCACACCTCTAAATTAATGCTCCTACAGAATTACATGTGAAGGGCAAGATGCAGTAACATTTAATATGAGGAGCAGCACCTTGGCCCTTGGCCATGGGTTAACTTTGTGTATCTGTTACGACGCATGTTTTACTGCATTCCCTCTAAAGGAAGAAGTGATGACTATTGCTTACAAAGTATTTTGTTTTGAAAATGTAGAGTATCAGTTTAAAGAAAGTTAAACTTCCTTCCATGGTATACAAAGCGTTATATGAGTCTAATCCTCACTTATTAAGTAGGAGAGGTTCTGGTGGAAACACGCTGACCTAATGGGCTCTTTCAGGATGGCAGTGGCAGTGCTTTTGTACAAACTCTAACCATTCCAGAGTTAAATAAAATCACACTCTGGAGGAATGTTATAGAATTAATGAGTGAACTTATTCCCACCTTGAGTCTCAGAAACAGTTAATTAGAATGAAGACTGTCAACTTTTAATATTTCATTAGGATTTAAGCGTGCAGAAGATGAAGTCTGTGTACCTTTAATAAATGAAGATTAGATTATTAGATGGCTCCCTCAAACTAGTCTTTGGGATAAATAGTTTTCCAGGGTAGATATTAATGAACGCGAGCATAAGATAGAACTGTCCAGATAAACCTGAAGGAAATCAGCTGTGCTGAGCAGCAGTGTGCATTGTCCCTGGTGGAAAAACATGTGACATAGCTATGCTACTCCCAGTACTCAAATTTAGATAGGCAGTACTGTATAGACATGCACAAACTGGCTTCCATTCTCCTGTCTTCACTAGAGCTGATGCCTTCAAGTTACTTTCCCTAAACTAGCCAACAACGTGGCATACAGAGGAATGGCTCACTACAGGAGCAGCAAAGATCAAGCAGATGGCAAGAGCTAAGATGGATTTTGGAAAGCCCCATCTTCACTGCAGGCATATTTATACTATTTAATGTAGTATTTAGGGACAGAGGTCCCTAAATTAAGCTTGAACAGGTAATTTGAAAATTGAATCAACAGAGTTATGCCAAGGAATGGTCTGATATGCTTTTCTCTGCCTTATCTCTGTGGGTTTTGTTCTGAATCTGTGTCTCTTGCAGGGAGCTCTCCCTGCTCCCATCCCTGCGTTTGTGTTAACAGAGATGGCTGAGGGCAGGGACCATAATAGATCAGGAAAACACCACCTAAGCTTCACACAGGTTTGGAGAGTTTTTCTGTATACTTTTACCCAGACTGTTTCATTGGTCCCATTTACAGTCGCATTAGCACAACTGCGCCATAAGGCTAGGAACAAGCATCTGGAAATGCCTTTAACCGGCTTTGCCGCTGAAGAAAGCATTGCTTGGCCATTGAGGTATCCTGCTTCAGCTAATTAGCTCTGCTGAAAGGCTCAGCTAATTAGCATGGGTGTAGAGTTGCTCTGACACAGTTACTCCGCTTGCAAGACCTGACCTAATCCCGCCGCACGGCGCTGAAGCACTAGTGCCCTGTGAGAAGTAGGGAAGCGAGAAGGAAGCAGGAGGCACGACGTGCATCCCCATGCCTTGAGGACCTCAGCCTCGGCCTCGCCGGCGGCCAGACCTGCCCAGCTCCCTTCAAGAGGAGCGAGCGGGCGGGTTGTGCAATAAATTGCTGGCTGTGGTGACACTTGGCATCTCTCTGTGTCGGCCCCGTTATTAAGCCCGACCATAGCACGACTGAACACCGCTTCTTCGTTCCCTCTCAGGGTCCGTCAGGCGGCGAAGGCAGGCTGTGCCAAGCTCGTGCCAGCCTCTGGAGCCGGGCACAACAACTCCTCGTGCCCCGGCCCAGGAGTAGCTGCCGGCAGGGACCCGGGCGGGACCGGGTCCGCCACGGCCGTGCGGGGACAGGTGGCCGCGGGACGGGAAAGGGGGTGAGGGAACAGCCCCCAGTCCAGCCGTCCGGGGGAACCCCGCTCCCGTTCTCCCTCACGGAAGCGGCGGAAAGAGCCGAAGGCGTCCGAGTGGAGCCGAAGCGGGGAGCAGCGCCGGGGGCACGGACGGCGGCGGGGCCCGGCCGGTCGCTCCCTCCGCGAGGGGGCGAGCGCGGGCGGGCGGGCGCGCTCCCCGCCGCCCCTCCTCGCCCCACCCCGCCCCGCCGCGCCCCGCCCGCCCAGCTCAGGCGCAGGAGCCGGAGCCAGAGCCGGCGGCGGGAGTGGGATCGGCTCTGTGGTCCCGGGCTCCGCACCTGCTCTCCTCGGTCCGCACGGTGGCGGCGGCCGCGACGGCCGTGACGGCCTTCTGCGCCCCCTGGGGCAGCGGGGCGGCGGCGGCGGCGCGGGGCGGCGCGGCAGGTACCGGGCTGGGCGGCGGCAGCGGCGCGGGGCACGGGGAAAAGTTGGCGCCGCCGGGGCGCCTCGGGGAGGCGGGGGCGGTGGTGCCGCCGGGGCCGCCCCCGCACCTCTCTCCTCCTCTTGCTCCTCGGCCGGGCGGGCAGCTGGCCCCGCGGTGGTGCCTGGCTGCCCGCCGGTCCCGCGGGAGAGCGGGGGCGAGCGCAGCTCCCGGCGGCTGGCGGGGCTGGGGCGGGGGAAAGCGGGCGGGAAGGTGCGCGGCGGTGCCGGGCTGGGTGTCAGCCTGGGTGTCAGCCTGTAGCGCACCGTGCCGTGCTGGCCCCTCGGGGCGCGGCGCAGCTCCGCTCCGCGTTGTCCCTCCGTGTTCTGTTTCCCTCCGCGCCTGGCGCGCTGGGCGTCGGGCACCGTCGGGCCTCGAGGGAGGGGAGGGGGAAGGTTCTGTCCCGTCCCCGTTGAACCCTGCGCTTGCTTTTGCTGACTGCTACTGTAGGGCGATTTCAGCTCCTTCCCTCAGACAACCTTTTTTTTCCCTGCAAATCGTTGTCGGAGCACCTGGCTTGAGAGTTCTTTCGAGCCCGTCCGAGCACCGAGTGCCTCGGGCGGGTTTCGGAGAGGAGCGCTGCGGGCGCAGAGCGCCCGTGCCCGGACGGACGGGGTGTGCCAAGAGACCAGAAGCCAATAGCTCGGAGCTAACTAGTCTGTGGTACTGTATCAGCAGCTGCCTCACCACAAAGGCTGCCGGGGCTCCACAGCGGTTACTTTTCAGCACTGTGGGTGCTTGGTGGAGATACATTGGAGATTTTTGTATCTGTAATCGATCTAAGTTATATATAATCTATCCATATATGTGAAGTGTGACAATTAGTTGCTTCATCGATGGTGTGGAACAGATGCAGCAGTAGTAAAATATGATACTTCTTTTAATATAAAATTCCCATTCATCTTGCCGCGTTTCCCGTTTCCTTTCTTGACTGAGCCTATCTGAAGTAATTAGTCAGTCTCTCCTTCTGTTTCTCCTTGCTTTCCTTTCTTTCAAAGATACAGTTGGGATTTTTTTGTTTTCCCTCCTAGGATCGTTGCTTCCCTTGTGGCTTTACAGCCTGTCACACAAATTGCTACTGCTGTAATACTTCTGTTACAGAAATCAGAACAATTTAGTGCCTTGATACTATTAAATATTTGTACTGCTACTTTGATAATCCAAAGCTGAGTTTTTAGTAGAAATATAGAATAATATTGCTGAAGCGCTAATTTTGCATAATATTGCATTGAAAGATTATTTATATAAAGTGCATTTAGATGTCTGGAATACCTATCTAGCTTTGGAGAGGAGCTGCACTTTCACTTCTTTTTTTTATCTCAATTTATCTGAAACTAATCTGTACAAGAAACAAATTGTCCCTATTACCTGGACAAGTTTGATCATGAGGGAAACCGTTAGCAAACAGGAGTGTGGGGAAGAAAGGTCTGTTTAATTACCATAGCTGGATAAACTTGCTAATGAAATACAAATGCTAAATTTTTACGATGCTGACATTCTTTGGTAATGTCTTGTGGCAAAAATGTCTTGATAGGTTGGTGACGAATACAGAGTACCTTTTTGTTTTCTAGTTCATAAGAAAAAATATCATATTCCACATAGTTCTAAGGACACTTAACAGAACAGCTCATTTGAAGAACCAACTTGTGATAAGACTGATTTTGTTTCATTAAACACTCTAATATTGCTGGCAGTAGATTCCTGGAAGAACTCTTAACACTTGTCGTCTCTCTTGTGATTTAATAAGCATTTCTAATGTGTCCATGATCACCTTTTTTTATTTGTACATTCTAAGACTGGGATGGTTAGTTCATGATTTCAGAACATAGGTTTGGGTAATATTGCAGTGACATGTTTTACTGTACAATACTTAGCTCTGTACCTCCCTGCTTCCAAAATACTAGTAGTACAAAGTAAGGTACTAATAAAACTATAGTTAACTTTCTGGATATGCTATTAAATTTTAAAACTCTATGATTGCTTCTTAATTATCAATTTATATTATTGATGTAGTCTTAATACGGCAGGTAATAACAAAGAAGCTAGTGGTAGTAGCATCACCTTCTTGCATATGTTTATGACTTATCACGTGATAAATCCTGTTTTTACCCAATCTTTAAATTGAATTTCATTCAATCTGAGTCTAAAATATAAACTAATTTCTAAAGATCTTGGGTGGACTTTTTTTAATAGTAGTATTGTAGCAGAGGTGGTTTTCCATACTTTTCTAAGCTTTGACCTACTTTTTGTACTGGTGGGTAAAGGATAGCTTTACATAGACACTGAGAGAGTAACCTTACATAGGCACAACACCAAAAGTGTTGTGCACAGAAGTCATTAATGTTAAATTCTCCGACGTGGACTAAATGCAGGTACAGTGAGCAGTTCTTCTATTTTGTCACTTTGTGTGTTCACCAGTAATATTTGTCATGCTGGCATCTAGGCATAGGGATAATTGTTCATTAAAAATCAATCAGTTAAAATTAAACTGTAGTTAATTGGTGACGAGGACCATAGTTACCAATCACATTGTCTTAGATATGGCAAATGTTCATTGTAAGTTCTATAGAAACCTTGTGGTGTGGGTTTGATTTTGGTTGGGGTTTTTTTGTTCATTTTTTGAATGAAAATCATGTTCCATAAGCTTTACAACTGAACCTGAGAACTGGTTTCTGTCAGAGCCAACACTGTGTGGTCATCTACTGAAAAGTTTGCACTAAAGTGGAGAAGTGCGAGAGCAACATTTTTCAGTTGTTTCCCCAAAACCATAGTATGAGTATACTAAGCAAAATTATTTATTTCACTTTCTCCTTGTATTAGTTTGTGTTAGTCTGTAGTATTTGTTTCTCTTATCTTCTGGCTACCTATGTGTAGCAGTGCAATGAATATTTTTTCCTATGGTATTGAGTGCATGACGTTAGTCAGGAAGAGGGATTTGGCACAGCATTGATGAGCACCCATAGCTCTGATGCTTGAGCTCCCAGAGAGTTGGGTACCTTGGGCTAGAGCATGGGATGACTCACTTGAATAGAAATCAATCAACAAGTAATTCCAGGCTAGGGAAGTGTCAGTATCAGCTAAAAACTCTGCCTGCATTTTTGTTTTGGTGTTGGGTTCTTTTCATGAGCTATAGTGTTTTCTTGTTATCAAGGCCTAAAAATCAGAAGATGTGTATGGTCTTATCTCACAACAACTGTGAATTAATGGGATGTAAACTATTCTTCTGTCAAGGTGTTTACTGAGGGGAAAGAGCAGGCACACAGGCAGTTGGAGTAGAGTAACAAATGTGCTGCAAGTTTCATCCTGACTTACCTTCGGATAATTTATTCTAATCTCCCCATGCCCTAAGATACTATTGCCTTCAATCAGCATGTACTGAACCTCACCGAGTTCTTATTTCTATTATTAGCATTGTAATATGAAACTTAGTCACGTGTCCAGTGTGGGACTTTGTGTTCCTTCTCCTTCTTCTTTTCATATCCCTGCAAAGAAAATGCTTCATGAAATGCTGTGAAATCAGATAATATAGAAAACACTCTCTAGTAGATTGCTTTATAAGGCTTTTCTTGGTCCTAATTTTTCTTCCTATTGAGAAACTACATTCACAATCTTGAAAAGCCTTCTCCCTAAGGAAAACACTGATACTTCTGTATATAATTTAGTTTCTTGAGCTGTGCTGAAATCACTGTGATGCTGAAGTCTGGTCATGCTTGTCTGCTAGGTTTTGGTTTACATTTCTAAACTTGAGTAATGGCAACAAAAGTTTCCCATCTTCTGGGCCAGGAAGAATCAAGAGACTTCAAAACCTTGTAGGTTCTTGGTGCATTGCTGTACTGTTGTTCATCTGGTGAGTCCCACACGCTCTTGGCTTGTAAGTTAGAGCTGTGCAAGCAAAATATGGACTCTGGGCATACATTTGGAATACAGATAATCCATCTGATACTCCTCAGCAAGATGTGAAGTATTTTTTAATCAGTTTTCAGGAAAAAATTGGAGAAGATACAAGCGGAAATGTATCTGCCTTTTCACTGATCTTAGAGTTCCTCTGGTTTTGACTGGCACACTTCCATAGTTCTAGGGCCTTCTTGTCTCACATCATCTTACTATCTCATATCAGCATGTATCTTCATCCAATAACAATACCTCTCCTTTTAATAAATGTAGTTCTTCTTTCCAAGAATCTTCACCGTTGGTTTAACAGGAGAGTATATCACTGTGTAAGGGATGTGATGGATCTCTGCAGGCTGGAGGTCCCTTTGTCTGAACCAGCACATTATCCTAATTGCCTTTTTTAAAATGAAAATCATTAGGAGTGGGCTAATCTGATGGGTTTCTCTGACTAGATTCCCTCTGTTCAACTTTTGCAAATGTCTGTGCAATATGAAGATTACAGAACATTACACAAGTAAAGCAGTTCTACAAACAAAACAGAAATCACAGAAACAGTGAAGCTTGCACATGCTACAGGCCTATGTTAATCTGCCATATTGACTGTAATTTTATCACTTCCCTCTCTTGGCAAGTTTAGGTTTGATACAAGTACAGCAACACACATGTTAAGGAGAGAGAGAGGGAGTGTCCCAAGCTTTGAATTAAAACTAAAAACCCTGCTGAGGAAACTGTGTTTGTCAGAATTCAGAACTGAGAGGAGCTTTTCGAGATAAGTGATCTTACTCTGTTTTCTAGCAGAAGGCATGTGGGGCTTTCTGAAAGGTGGTATTTTGCCAGAAGTGTAACAGGTACTTTTACTTGCATCACAGAGTAGAAATATAGCCAAGGTAATATGTCGCACGCTTGCTTGTATTGACCGAGTCAATTAGTGTGTTTCAAGAGATAATGTAGTAACCCTTGTAACAGCCACCTACTCTTTGTCAACAACTAGCTTTTATCTTACTGATTTGAGCGAGTGGCCTGTGCACTCTGAAATTGGTTAGATAGTTATTCTTAGTCAATACTGTATAGT